TTATTGCCGTTAAGACATGGGACAAACACTACATCCAATATAAGCAGTTCAAGAAGATGCTTCTTCAAATGGCTGCTGAAATCAAGGAAGCCCGTGAAAATGGAAAATCCGAAGAAGAAATTGTTCAAATGAAAAAGGAGCATACCACCACTTTTAAGGAAGCTTTGACCCAAACGTTAACGAATCAATTAAATTTTATTGTGAATACGTTACACAGACTTCAGAGAAAGTCGAATCAATTTCCCAGAATGTTTATTCCGAACTTGAGAAGCAGACACCACAAGATGAAGAGACAGCCATTGCCATCCATAAGAAAATTTTTATTACAACTCTGAACCTTTACGAGATCCGTTCTTTCCTCGAAGTTAACCACTCTGCTACCCACATCATCAAGAAGTTCGTTAAGAAACTTGTATACCCAGAAGCCCATCAAGATCTTGACGTTCTTCAGACAGATTGCTTCGAAAATATGCCAACCATCCAGGGTGACCTCAGCCGCCTCGAAGAACTCTTCATCCTTCTTAAGAGAAAGATTTATCCAAAGGGCGACAGCCGCCCTCGCCAGGAAATCATTATGGAACTCCATAAATCGGTTCGTCAGAACCTTGATTGGAAACAAGCTACAGTACTTGGCCAATGGGATGCCTATACATTCCGTTCTAACGATTCCATCTTACTGCAACTCCAATCAAAATTATCCAATATCATTCGTTTCGTATGCATGATTCCATTCCTCGTCTACAATTTCTTCGGCGACGGAAAATACGAAGCCCAGCGTTGTTAGGACTTCTTGTTTCTGTGCAATCTTATGGTGCACAACAGCCATTCCTCTTTGGTTAACTTCACTTTCTATTCCATTCTTCGGTGTTATATACGTCTCAAAGCTAATGTCGTTATGACAAAGCTCGCAGCTGATATCCAAAAGCAACAATGTCTTCAACAGTTTATCTCATTATTGGTGGCTTCACAATCGCTGCAGCCTTCCAAGTTACTGAAATGGACAAGCGTATCGCTTCCATGGTCCTTAAGAAGGCTACAGGTTCTACCGGTTTATATCTCTACGCAGTTATCGCTCTTAACGCATTCCTTGCCATGTGGATCAACAATGTCGCTTCTACTATGATCGTCTGCACTCTCGTTCTACAGACATTGAACCAATTACCACAAGGATCGACTTATGCCAAGTTACTTTTAGTTGGGATCGCTGCAGGTGGCAACTGTGGAGGTCTCATGACACAACTCGCTTCTCCACAGAACGCTATTGCTGTCGATTCCGTCAACAACGTTTTATCTGTAAATTCTGACCAGAGACTTGGCTTCATTGAGTTCATGGTTACAGCTATTCCAACAGGCCTCATTGCCTCAATTGTTTACTGGTTCATTATTCGTTTCGTTTACAAGACAGACGTAAGTGAAGTTCCGAAATTCGTTGCACCGAGACAGATTTCGGATGGCGCCAGATCGTTGTATCTGTTATCTCTCTTATATCTATTATCCTCTGGATTATTTTACCATTCGAGATCCACAAAGTTTTTGGTGATAACGGTATCATCGGCTTCATTCCACTTATTACTTTCTACGGAACAGGAATTCTCATCAATCCATCCTACATCGCCAAGCTACCATGGAACATTTTGTTCCTCGTTATGGGTGGCAATGCTCTTGGATACTTGTCAAAGAGTCTGGATTGCTCCAGATCGTTTCAGACTTACTCCAGAAGTTACTCGGAAAGACATCTACATGGGTTACATTCTTCCATCTCTTTCTTCGAATTATTAATCAATGTCTTCATTTCGCACACTGTTTCAGCGACAATTGTTTCTTCCAATCATCTGCCAGTTCGCTAAAACTACTCCGCACCTTAGATTGTACGCACTCGGCGCTGTCGCTGCAACAACTGCTTCCCCAATCATGCCTGTTTCATCATTCCCAACTTGTGCTGCACATCATTACAGGATAAGAACGGAAATGAGTCTTTTGACAACAAAGGACATGATGAAGTCTGGAGCAATCGCTACCGTAGTCTCCTTCATTTTCTGCATCCACTATCTCTTCGGATTCGGTATGCTCCTCAAACTCTAATCAGAGCATTCTCAAAAAAAGATAGTAGTGGGGCTTCCAGGCGCGTTGCGCCCTCTAGCCCCGAAGATGTTTAGTATAAATGAAGTTTTTATTCGGAGGGCTTCCAGGCGCGTTGCGCCCTCTAGCCCATAAGAAATTTTGCCCAAGACCCAAGAGGAGGACCGAACCCCAGCCGACCAGCCGGTGACAAAACCAAAACCGTTGTTATTTACATCATATTAATGGTGTCACTTTTTAAATGTCACTTTTTGTGTCACTTTTCACAAAATATATATTGTTTTCATGTTTTGTCACTTTTCTGTCACTTTTCGAGTAAAAACATTTTTATTATATATAAATAAATGAATTTTACAAAACCACCTTTACCGTTCTTTGGAAATAAGAGTAGATGTAAAGATATTATATGAGAGAACTTAAGAAACTACCGAATGGTCTAACATTTGTAGATTTGTTCGGTGGAAGTTTCTATATATCCCATTTGTGCCATACAATATTCCCAGACTCAAAGATTATATGCAATGACTTCGACAACTATATGGACCGTCTCAAACATATTCCAGACACAAACAATATTGAAAGAGTTAAAAGAAAAGATACCTATAGGTAAGATGGAACGTATACCATTAGATAAGAAAGATATTGTGAGAGAGGTTTTGAAAAAAGCAGAATATATGACTGGGATAGTATATCTGCTAGACTATTATATAGTGGTGCTATAAGAGTTCATGACATTGAAACACTATGTCAAAAGTTTTATATCTTAACTATACAAATGTTTTCAAAGAGGACATAGAAAAATATATTGAGGGTATAGAGTTTGTGAGATGTCATTGGACAGAGTTGTATGAAAAATATAAAGACAAGGAAAATGTTTTCTTTATAGTGGACCCACCGTTCTATAACACATGGGATTTTCAATACCAAGTAGACTGCTTTGAGAGACTCTTTAGAAACTTTAGACGTTTTACATAACCATCCATGCTTTTATTTACATCCGATAAAAGTGGTTTGGAAACCGTTATGAGATGGTTAGAGGACATACATGACTATGAGTTTATATATGACAAAGATAGAATATGAGAGAGGTCCTATAAACTGGAGAAAGTGTCACAATAAAGAAATTTTATTAGTAAGTAAATGTGGTTTGAAATAGGACTACTTGTTTTAGGTTTTTTCCATTGTGCTATTTATTTATTTGACGTGGCAGAAAAGTACAGAGAATATGAAGATGAACCAATGCCTGCAAATGTTCAGTATATGTACTCGTAAGAGATATTTTTATCTAATATTAAATGGACGCACAGAACTTAGCGAATGCACAGCAACCTGGACAACCAAACCCAGAGAATATTCCAAATGAAGTTAGAATACAAACTGCAATGGCAAACTATGGTCAAGTGCCAACAGATGTACAAATGCAAACTGCCATGTCAAATGACGCTGCGTTAGGTTTGCCACCATGGTATGCAAATATGAGATGGAGAGTTTTATACAAACCCTGAAGTGGATATAAACAACTTTATGCAGATGACGCGAACACAGGAGTTGACCCGAATATGTTTTCTACCAAGAGAGAAACAGAATGTATGAGCTCCAGTTAAAGAATGCTATGGAACTCAACAGGAAACGTAAAAGACTTGGCGGACATTAGATTTTTACACGTAGTAAAATGGGTTTCTTCAGTAGTATTGGAAACTTCTTCAGAAGAGTTGGAAGAGGTATATGGAATGGAATAAAATCTGTCGGAAGAGGAATTTGGAACGGTGTCAAAAATATTGGTAAAAGAGTAGGTCAGTTCGTTGGTATATACCTAAAGACCCTGAACCAGAAGAACAAGCCCTGTTATACAACAACCTGAACCTGCACCACAATCTAGTTGGCAACCAAATCCAACACCTCAACCGTATTAAAAAATTATATTTTTACCGTTCGATAGTAGTTGTATATGAAACTAAGTTCTAAGTAAAACGCATGGTATATATGGAATTATTCTTTTTCTTCCATCTGTAGTAAACCATACTTGAAAGTCTGAAATACTTCCACTTGGTGGTTCATATAACTTTGTAGGTTTTTCGTAAAAGTCATTTGCCAAGCATAAGAAAGAGTTTTGGGCGCCAAGAAATGAAGCATGAACAATAATAGCATCTTGGTCGAAAACATCTTTAAATAAATATGGTTCATCTCTTGCATATCGACTGTAAATATTTGCTAAAGGAAGTTCGACTTTCTGATTTAACATTCTTTGCAAATAATACCATGACATTGCAGTGAATTCTGTATATATTTGTTCGTCTTTATTTGGATTGTTTCGTAGATTTGAAATGACACTTGTGAATTTTGTTTGTCATACAATTCTCACATAAAGTGTGTATCGGTATTCGCAATATCATCAGCATATTTTGCATAACATGAATTTATTTTATCTTCTAATTTTTTAACGCAGTCTGTAGAGAAGATGAAAGGTCAACTGTATTAGCTCAATTTCTTCCCACATTTTCGTTTCCCTTCAGATATATAATCTATATGAAACCTTACAATAAATGGAAAACTTTTATCTTCTACAGACACAAATTTATTCTTCGAAAGCCAATAGATTTAGTAACAGATGGGTCTCTTACCCTCTTAATGGGTAGTCAAAACGATAGCCTTCATGCTTTATAGATCTAAGTCAAACTTTTGACCGACATTAGTAAAAAGTTCATCTAATGGTTTAGTTGTAGCAACTCTAGAATTTTCTTTTCTATTGGAAGCATATTTTATCTATAATAAAATGTCAATGAAACAGCGTCTATGAGAGAAATACAACACAACCGACAACTCATTATGCAAGCTCTAAATAAGAACACAACAAACTTTTCAAACTATGCTAAAATATCTGAGTCATTGAAAGAAGGAAACCTAAAACTGACAATAACCCTATGACAGATGAGTTTCTATTTCAAGACAATAAGAACCATACTGTCTGTATAAATCCAACAAAAGGAACTTTAAACGAGAAACCTATAAATGAACTTCTTTTGAAAGCAGATGTTGACAACAAAGCTGACAAAGAATATGTCATTGAAAAAGTTCAAGAAGAACATGACAGAGCAGATGCAACATATGCAACAAAAGAGGATGTTGAAAATAAAGCAGACAAAGAAACTGTAGATATGTTGCACAAACGGTTTCAAGTCATACCAGAGGTTTAATGGAAGATGGACAACAGTTGAAAGAGCTTGAGAAAGGTGTTACAGAGTTAAGGAATACAAAAGCAGACTCGAAATGGATAGCTGGATATGTAGATGCAACAAAAGAATATATTTTCGCATGGACAGAAGGAACATATCCACAAAAACATCATACACATTCTATATCTGATATTACAAACTTACAAGAAACCTTAAACAGGAAAAGTGACGTTGGACATACACATACCATTGCAAATATTACAAACTTACAAGAAACCTTAAACACTAAAGCAGATAAAACATATGTCAATGAAATATACCAAAGTTTAGTTGGAACAAAAAAAATATTGAAACTATTGTTGGTGACTTTTCTGTCAATGAAGAAAATAAATATTTTAGATGGAGTTTGTACATTCCTTAAAAAATGGTATACGGTATAAACTCATTCCGAAAAATAACAATGAAATGTATGTAAGCTATAAAAAGAATGATGGTACACAAGTTAAAGTTCCATTAGACAACAACTGCTACTTAAACTTATATGGAGACGAACAAAAGAAATATTTAAGAGTTTATGAAATGGCAGATATGACATTGCCTGACCCAGCTCCAGCACCATATTATTATGACTATGGAGATGACGACAAACCCACATGTAGACCAAAAAAGCAAACATTATATTTAGAATATTATAGATATAAAAGATATAATGCAATAGAAAAAACGAGAATAGTATATTATTATACAGATGACAGAAATAAATATTATAGTCAAGATTTTACCTACCCTGAAAACATAAGATATATTATAAAAAATATTCTGACACAAACCAGAAGAAACCAGAAATAGTTGCACTATATTTTAAGTTCAAAAGGGACAATCCTATAATATCTCATATGTTTGATTTAATGAACCCAATAGGTTCATTTTATACATCTATGGATGCAAGAGGTCCTCAAGTAATGTTTAGTGTTGGTGCATGGGAACAAATAGTCGACAGAGTTTTGTATTGTGCAAACTCTTCAAAGGAAACAGGTGGAAAGTAAAACGATTTCAGGTGAAAATTTACCTGCACACAGTCATTACATAAATTAAGTACATCTCAAGCAGGTTGGCATAGACATAGATATTGGGATTGATCAGGAATGACAAAAGGTAAAGGATATGATGTTAAAGGCGACGTTAAGTTTGCTATAAATTGTTACTGGGATGACACGTGGGGGAAGGAGACCATACACATCACGTTTCAGGATATACGCAAACAACGGGACAAAGTAAAGAAAACATGCCACCTTACATGACAGTTTACGCATGGTATAGAAATGCTTAGTCGTCATTTTCAACTTCTTTAGCATATTCGTCAGGAGTTGTCTTATATTTGTTAGGAACTGTCTTTGAAAGTATACCACCTTGAACTTTGACAAGTTTGAAACGAGGTCTGACAATAGTAGTTTTATCTTCTGCTTGCAGTGTGTACATTTTGCCATGTTTGCCTAAAACTTCATAATATTCTCTTGTATACTTTCTTCTATTTTTACGAACACGAATGTGAGTACCTGTCGGGTTCACATTGTTGTCATAGTCAATAGTATTTTCATATGGGTCGCGTTTAGGTATTTCTATTTTTACTTTGTCACCTTTCTGAAGTTTGAAGCCCGGCATTCTTTCTTGTTTGTCTCTTTTGACTAAATTATTAAATATATAGTCTTTCTCTAAGTCAGGGTTGTTTTTCATTTCTTCGGGGGAGTGGTTTCCCAAACCTTTTTGTTTACGGCTATTGTAAATATTTAAAACTTGTCTCATCTTTGCCATGGAGAAGTGTCTATATTTGTCGTCATATGACATTTCATTTGCTTCACCACCTTGTGGTTGGTTTAAGTCTCTTAACATTTTTATACAACTGTCAATGACACCAAAGAGCAGAATGGTTTTGGTCGACAATGAAATATTGGTTTACATTTTTTGAACGCAGATAGTTTTTTACATCATCTGATTTGAAAGAACTTTCACAGTCAGATGTCAGTTTGTTTGGATGGTATTTGTCAACGAATATTGTCAAAGCAGTTTTCACATCTAAAATATTTTTGGACCATAATGGTATGGATTCACAGTATCTTGTGTTTTGACCGACAAATATTAGCCAGTATGGTGGTCCATCTGTTCTAACTCTCGGAATGTTTTCCAAGAAATCCATAAACCAAGCATTTGGTGTTGAACTAAAGATTTTTATCATGAGTGCTTTTTTTGTTGCTTTAGAAACATAGGGGTCCTTGTTTGGATTCGTCATTTTTTATCCTATAAGAAATGGGTTATTTGGCGCATTAGCAGGAGTTGCATCCAGATTTTGCCCGCAGTGGGAACAATAGCCAGAGGTGTATTTGGAGTTGGAAGGAAGATTTTGAGTACATTAGGTATACTTAAAGAGAAAGCACAACCTATTATACAAACTGTACAGAAAGGTTGGGATGTAGCACGAGATGCAACAAATTTATTCCAAAATCCTGAAACAAGAGGAAAAGTTCAAGGAGGATGGACAATGTAGGAAGACAAGCAGGAAACTATTATAACAAAGCAAATGAATACTATAACCAAGCAGGAAATTATATGGACCAAGGTGAAAGATTCTTTAACAGAGGATATAACCATGCACAACAGTGGGTAAACAATAACCAACCTCAACCGCCTCAAACGTGGGGAATGTAAAGTTTTTTATTGAGATGAAATGAACAATGCAGCTTTAAACAGAATAAGTCATGGAAGACCACCTTTTACACCACGTGTTTGTAAAGTTCTTCCTATACCTCAGGAAGTTTTAGACCGACTTAAAAAACCTAAACAACCAGTTGAAAACAAACCAAACTAAAATTTTTACTGAGATGAAATGACCGAAGAAGTTGAAACGTAGATTTGACACCACAAACAAAAAGTTCAGAACCATTGTCAAAACCTGTCAAAGAACTTACAGATGAAGAGAAAAATTCAATAATAGAAAGTGCCAGGTCTGGAAATACAAACCCTAACATAAAAGTCACTTTTCATAGAAATGGAACGGCTAGTATCTCAAAAAAAAACAGACCCTCACAAATAAAATATTGAAGTCTGAAGGAGCTTTCGAGACAACAGATGGAAAGTTTACTTCACTGACCAACAGTTCATTATAGAACATCTCATTGACTTAGAGTCGAAATATTCTAAACTTATCAACAAACACAAAAAAGTTGAAAGGAAAACAAAAACAAATGGCATATGATATTTATGAAGATGTTGACGACACAATGTTCCTGCAAGTGAAGTAAAGTCAGAGGAACCGAAAAGTGACGAAAACCGATAGAAGAAGAAAACCAAAAACTGAAGATAAACCAAAACCAAAGTTTAGTTTCCAAACTAAACCAAGTCAACCTTCATTAGCTGGTATGGGTTGGCGTCAAAGACTTATGGCAGCAGGCGGTTATGTAAAGTAAAGAAAAATTTTTTTTTATTTTTTAAAAATGCCCCCATATAGAATGGATAGAAAGTCTGCTAGAATAAAAGCAGAGTTACAAAGATATGGTTGGAAGATTTCGAAGAATTTTAAATTATAGGAAGGGAAGACCCAAAAAAGTCTATGACAATTGTCTGGTCTTCGCTACGAAATGGATTTGGACATACACAATGTAAAAGTACATCATTTATCAATAGAAATATATGTTTACTATTTCAATTCATACTTTTGAAAGATGTATTTTTCAAACATTGAATTTTTTATAACACCTATATAAAACAATATAAAGTAATTCAGCAGAATTGAAAGATCAGTTGGGTCAACGAAGCCTTCTTGAGGCTGCTTTGCAATAATTGGTTCAACTCTTGATCTTATTTCTTGTGTTCTCTTAAGATGCTTTAACTTCATCTCAAACTGAGAGTCATTGAGCAATGGGAATATAACATCCCAATTTTCTGCATACCAGCAAAGTAATGCTGATCTGTTTCTTCTGGCAAGCCTATCGAGTTTTAAGGCATATCTTCCCATAATGATCTTGGCAAGGCTTGTGAGAATGGCAATTGTAACATGTGTACCAAAATACTTATCAATGAAAGTTGAAACTTTTTCAACTTTGGCTCCATTGACTTTTATCCTCTTTTGTACCTTTTCATAATCCCTGATACTTTGTGGAGTACGCTTCTTTGGAATATATATTGGGATTTGGCATTGTGTGTAGCACATTTCTGGAGCAAACATCTATTAAAATGAAGTTTAAGTTATGATAAATATATTTTCAATATCTCATTGAATTTTGTAAATATTCATGTTAAACATATATGATAGAGATACCAGCTGTGATTTCTTTTAACAAGAAATTTATCATCATTCAAATGTGCTAATCAAATTTCCGAATCAACAGAATTTAAGTTTTGATTTGAATTTGAATAAAACCATCTTTTCAAATCAAATCATTACTATTTATGCATATTATTCATCAATACATAGTATAAATGAACTTTTCAAGAATGGATATCTGGGATTAAATGTTCGGTCCTCAGAAAGTCAAACGCTAAATTTCATCTCTCAATCGAAAATATTTCGGTAAAAACAAAATCATTGGTGATATCCTTATTAACATAATAATGCAATTTTGGAGAATTTAATTGATACAAATCATTCAGATAACTTTTATGGAGCCATTAATATAGTTCTCACTCTCATTAATACAAGAAAATCAAAATTGTCCGAAGTTAGGCCTGCAAGTTGCCAAATACTGATTCAATTTTTGAGAGATACTACCACCGATGAAATATAATATAGATTGATGATATTTCTATCAGCTGCTGCTTTCAAGCAAGTTTCAAATTTAACATATGATATCATAAATATAAAATTTCTATATGATTGAATTCCATTGGATTTTCTAAGAAAAAACGGAAAAGTAATTTTACATCTGGAAAGGATTGAACAAAATCTGAAGGCCATATGCAATTCTTTCTTATCCAATAAGATGCAAATATCACATTGATTTTGTTTCTAAGAGTTACAAATTATTTTTGCCTCAGAAAATAGAATTCATTTTGATATGATTTGATAGCAATGATTGGCTATGATTGAGTGTTAATCGGATATTTGCTGAATACATTAGTTTTTATTTCAGGATGCTTTTGTTAATAAGCTGCAATTCAGCTAATTCTCCAAGTCTAGATCTCTTTTGTATTAAAATGAATATGATTATTCAATTAAATCAATACAAGTGTAAATAGAAAAAGAGGGCTCAAAAATATTTGGTTGCTCACTATAAGTAGATATACTTTATCAGGGAGTTTATGATTTCAATAGGCAATTTTCAGAGAGTTATTTTTATATTTTATTATCGCGATTATCATTTTAAAATGACCGCATTAAAGTTTAAGCTCTTGTATAAAAGGCTTCAAATTTGTCTTATGCATTGTATCATTCAAATATTTTGTTGATAATATGCAATTAATCCTGTATCTATCCTATTTAACCATGTGAAGTAAATGATATTATTCAATAGCTTCGAAAATTGTAATCAATCAATTGAATCAAATTCTCTGTGATTTGTTTTTGGTGATTTTCTAATTCATAATTTTCATTGATTGTACTCAAACATTGGACTGTGTTTCTGATATGAAATGATCATATGAAACTATTATAAACTTTTATTATTGAAAGTTTAGCCTATATTCGTTGAATAAATCTAACATCAAATTCAATTTTCACTTTCTATTTATTTGAAATAATATATCTTGAATATTGTTCAAATAGATATTATATTCATGTTATTACTATGGTTTTCAAATTTTGAGGATTCGTATATGCGAAATATTGATGAAAGCATCAATATCGTCTCAAACAATAAAATTTTAGTTGCAAATTATTGAGTATCTAAATGATAGATAAATTTGTGGCTATTGGATCATAACTATTAGATTTTATTTCCAGAAATAATATTTTATTCCTCTTTTGCGAGTTGTTATATAATTGAGCATTTAACATTTAAAATTTTGTCTTCATGACATTAAAGCAGCATGTTTTACAATTTTAATGCTTTTTCATATAAACTGACTAAAAAACAGCCAAATTATAGCAGAATTTATATGTAACGTGTTAAATTTTAATGGGCAAAGCAAATCATTTCAAGGTTTTTTGAAACAATTCTCTTTTAAAAGACTATAAAAGTGCTTTTGCCTATGGACCAGCTATTCCACCAGTTAAGTTGTTAAACGCTATGCTTGTTTTTGATAAATGGTCGTTTGGGCAAGATTCGAAATCACAAAACTAATGTAAAATTCACTGACTTTTTCGAAGAAATCATTAATATTATTTCTAATTGCATGCTCTTAAAAGGATGATAACAAATTTCAATTTGTGAATTTCCATAATCATGCTCAAAAATCAGCTTTGAAAAGATTCAATTTGAGAGAGATCGTTTTCTATCGTTTATAAAAAATTAATATTAACAAGATAGAAAATGGAATACAACAAATATTTTCTTTAATACGTTATTTCGTTATTATTTTTTTACACAATATAAGACCAACAAATACTATACTTAAATATTCCTTAATATTGTGACTTTTGTATTGTTCATTATCAAATGACAATTTCGGAACAATTCATCGAATCCAATATTTTAGGCTTCATTCATTAGTCCTAATCTATTTAAAAACGAAACATGTCCTATCGGTGAATGTGATAGTGAATAAAGTTATTTTTGAGAGAATTCAAAGGATAAAACCATTATTACTTTTCAAACGCATTCATACTAGATTATCCATAATCGATTGTTTTTTTCGATCCAATCAAATCAAAAGATTTTGATTTGAAAGGAAATTATCGTTATAAACTCAAAAATTCATGACCAAAAAAATTCAAATCAAGAATGAAATTTGGTAAACAGCTACGCTTTATTGCCGTTAAGACATGGGACAAACACTACATCCAATATAAGCAGTTCAAGAAGATGCTTCTTCAAATGGCTGCTGAAATCAAGGAAGCCCGTGAAAATGGAAAATCCGAAGAAGAAATTGTTCAAATGAAAAAGGAGCATACCACCACTTTTAAGGAAGCTTTGACCCAAAACGTTAACGAATCAATTAAATTTTATTGTGAATACGTTACACAGACTTCAGAGAAAGTCGAATCAATTTCCCAGAATGTTTATTCCGAACTTGAGAAGCAGACACCACAAGATGAAGAGACAGCCATTGCCATCCATAAGAAAATTTTTATTACAACTCTGAACCTTTACGAGATCCGTTCTTTCCTCGAAGTTAACCACTCTGCTACTTCCCACATCATCAAGAAGTTCGTTAAGAAACTTGTATACCCAGAAGCCCATCAAGATCTTGACGTTCTTCAGACAGATTGCTTCGAAAATATGCCAACCATCCAGGGTGACCTCAGCCGCCTCGAAGAACTCTTCATCCTTCTTAAGAGAAAGATTTATCCAAAGGGCGACAGCCGTCCTCGCCAGGAAATCATTATGGAACTCCATAAATCGGTTCGTCAGAACCTTGATTGGAAACAAGCTACAGTACTTGGCCAATGGGATGCCTATACATTCCGTTCTAACGAATTCCATCTTACTGCAACTCCAATCAAAATTATCCCAATTATCATTGCTTTCGTATGCATGATTCCATTCCTCGTCTACAATTTCTTCGGCGACGGAAAATACGAAGCCCAGCGTTGTTTAGGACTTCTTGTTTTCTGTGCAATCTTATGGTGCACAACAGCCATTCCTCTTTGGTTAACTTCACTTTCTATTCCATTCTTCGGTGTCATATTACGTCTCAAAGCTAATGTCGTTATGACAAAGCTCGCAGCTGATATCCAAAAAGCAACAATGTCTTCAACAGTTTATCTCATTATTGGTGGCTTCACAATCGCTGCAGCCTTCCAAGTTACTGAAATGGACAAGCGTATCGCTTCCATGGTCCTTAAGAAGGCTACAGGTTCTACCGGTTTATATCTCTACGCAGTTATCGCTCTTAACGCATTCCTTGCCATGTGGATCAACAATGTCGCTTCTACTATGATCGTCTGCACTCTCGTTCTACAGACATTGAACCAATTACCACAAGGATCGACTTATGCCAAGTTACTTTTAGTTGGGATCGCTGCAGGTGGCAACTGTGGAGGTCTCATGACACAACTCGCTTCTCCACAGAACGCTATTGCTGTCGATTCCGTCAACAACGTTTTATCTGTAAATTCTGACCAGAGACTTGGCTTCATTGAGTTCATGGTTACAGCTATTCCAACAGGCCTCATTGCCTCAATTGTTTACTGGTTCATTATTCGTTTCGTTTACAAGACAGACGTAAGTGAAGTTCCGAAATTCGTTGCACCGAAGACAGATTTCGGATGGCGCCAGATCGTTGTATCTGTTATCTCTCTTATATCTATTATCCTCTGGATTATTTTACCATTCGAAGTCCACAAAGTTTTTGGTGATAACGGTATCATCGGCTTCATTCCACTTATTATCTTCTACGGAACAGGAATTCTCAATCCATCCTACATCGCCAAGCTACCATGGAACATTTTGTTCCTCGTTATGGGTGGCAATGCTCTTGGATACGTTGTCAAAGAGTCTGGATTGCTCCAGATCGTTTCAGACTTACTCCAGAAGTTACTCGGAAAGACATCTACATGGGTTACATTCTTCATCATCTCTTTCTTCGAATTATTAATCAATGTCTTCATTTCGCACACTGTTTCAGCGACAATTGTTCTTCCAATCATCTGCCAGTTCGCTAAAACTACTCCGCACCTTAGATTGTACGCACTCGGCGCTGTCGCTGCAACAACTGCTTCCCAAATCATGCCTGTTTCATCATTCCCCAACTTGTGCTGCACATCATTACAGGATAAGAACGGAAATGAGTTCTTGACAACAAAGGACATGATGAAGTCTGGAGCAATCGCTACCGTAGTCTCCTTCATTTTCTGCATCACTATTCTCTTCGGATTCGGTATGCTCCTCAAACTCTAATCAGAGCATTCTCAAAAAAAAAGTAGTAGTGGGGCTTCCAGGCGCGTTGCGCCCTCTAGCCCCGAAGATGTTTAGTATAAATGAAGTTTTTATTCGGAGGGCTTCCAGGCGCGTTGCGCCCTCTAGCCCATAAGAAATTTTGCCCAAGACCCAAGAGGAGGACCGAACCCCAGCCGACCAGCCGGTGACAAAACCAAAACCGTTGTTATTTACATCATATTAATGGTGTCACTTTTTAAATGTCACTTTTTGTGTCACTTTTCACAAAATATATATGTTTTCATGTTTTGTCACTTTTCTGTCACTTTTCGAGTAAAAACATTTTTATTATTATATATAAATGAATTTTACAAAACCACCGTTACCGTTCTTTGGAAATAAGAGTAGATGTAAAGATATTATATTGAGAGAACTTAAGAAACTACCGAATGGTCTAACATTTGTAGATTTGTTCGGTGGAAGTTTCTATATATCCCATTTGTGCCATACAATATTCCCAGACTCAAAGATTATATGCAATGACTTCGACAACTATATGGACCGTCTCAAACATATTCCAGACACAAACAATATATTGAAAGAGTTAAAAGAAAAGATACCTATAGGTAAGATGGAACGTATACCATTAGATAAGAAAGATATTGTGAGAGAGGTTTTGAAAAAAGCAGAATATATAGACTGGGATAGTATATCTGCTAGACTATTATATAGTGGTGCTATAAGAGTTCATGACATTGAAACACTTATGTCAAAAGTTTTATATCTTAACTATACAAATGTTTTCAAAGAGGACATAGAAAAATATATTGAGGGTATAGAGTTTGTGAGATGTCATTGGACAGAGTTGTATGAAAAATATAAAGACAAGGAAAATGTTTTCTTTATAGTGGACCCACCGTTCTATAACACATGGGATTTTCAATACCAAGTAGACTGGACTTTGAGAGACTCTTTAGAAACTTTAGACGTTTTACATAACCATCCATGCTTTTACTTTACATCCGATAAAAGTGGTTTGGAAACCGTTATGAGATGGTTAGAGGACATACATGACTATGAGTTTATATATGACAAGATAGAATATGAGAGAGGTCCTATAAACTGGAGAAAGTGTCACAATAAAGAAATTTTATTAGTAAGTAAATGTGGTTTGAAATAGGACTACTTGTTTTAGGTTTTTTCCATTGTGTCATTTATTTATTTGACGTGGCAGAAAAGTACAGAGAATATGAAGATGAACCAATGCCTGCAAATGTTCAGTATATGTACTCGTAAGAGATATTTTTATCTAATATTAAATGGACGCACAGAACTTAGCGAATGCACAGCAACCTGGACAACCAAACCCAGAGAATATTCCAAATGAAGTTAGAATACAAACTGCAATGGCAAACTATGGTCAAGTGCCAACAGATGTACAAATGCAAACTGCCATGTCAAATGACGCTGCGTTAGGTTTGCCACCATGGTATGCAAATATGAGATGGAAAGAGTTTTATACAAACCCTGAAGTGGGATATAAACAACTTTATGCAGATGACGCGAACACAGGAGTTGACCCAGAATATGTTTTCTACCAGAGGAGAAACAGAATGTATGAGCTCCAGTTAAAGAATGCTATGGAACTCAACAGGAAACGTAAAAGACTTGGCGGACATTAGATTTTTACACGTAGTAAAATGGGTTTCTTCAGTAGTATTGGAAACTTCTTCAGAAGAGTTGGAAGAGGTATATGGAATGGAATAAAATCTGTCGGAAGAGGAATTTGGAACGGTGTCAAAAATATTGGTAAAAGAGTAGGTCAGTTCGTTGGTATTATACCTAAAGACCCTGAACCAGAAGAACAAGCCCCTGTTATACAACAACCTGAACCTGCACCACAATCTAGTTGGCAACCAAATCCAACACCTCAACCGTATTAAAAAATTATATTTTTACCGTTCGATAGTAGTTGTATATGAAACTAAGTTCTAAGTAAAACGCATGGTATAATGGAATTATTCTTTTTCTTCCATCTGTAGTAAACCATACTTGAAAGTCTGAAATACTTCCACTTGGTGGTTCATATAACTTTGTAGGTTTTTCGTAAAAGTCATTTGCCAAGCATAAGAAAGAGTTTTGGGCGCCAGAAAATGAAGCATGAACAATAATAGCATCTTGGTCGAAAACATCTTTAAATAAATATGGTTCATCTCTTGCATATCGACTGTAAATATTTGCTAAAGGAAGTTCGACTTTCTGATTTAACATTCTTTGCAAATAATACCATGACATTGCAGTGAATTCTGTATATATTTGTTCGTCTTTATTTGGATTGTTTTCGTAGATTTGAAATGACACTTGTGAATTTTGTTTGTCATATACAATTCTCACATAAAGTGTGCTATCGGTATTCGCATATTCATCAGCATATTTTGCATAACATGAATTTATTTTATCTTCTATATTTTTTAACGCAGTCTGTAGAGAAGATGAAAGGTCAACTTGTATTAGCTCAATTTCTTCCCACATTTTTCGTTTCCCTTCAGATATATAATCTATATGAAACCTTACAATAAATGGAAAACTTTTATCTTCTACAGACACAAATTTTATTCTTCGAAAGCCAATAGATTTAGTAACAGATGGGTCTCTTACCCATCTTAATGGGTAGTCAAAACGATAGCCTTCATGCTTTATAGTATCTAAGTCAAACTTTTGACCGACATTAGTAAAAAGTTCATCTAATGGTTTAGTTGTAGCAACTCTAGAATTTTCTTTTTCTATTGGAAGCATATTTTATCTATAATAAAAATGTCAAATGAAACAGCGTCTATGAGAGAAATACAACACAACCGACAACTCATTATGCAAGCTCTAAATAAGAACACAACAAACTTTTCAAACTATGCTAAAATATCTGAGTCATTGAAAGAAGGAAACCTAAAACTGACAATAAACCCTATGACAGATGAGTTTCTATTTCAAGACAATAAGAACCATACTGTCTGTATAAATCCAACAAAAGGAACTTTAAACGAGAAACCTATAAATGAACTTCTTTTGAAAGCAGATGTTGACAACAAAGCTGACAAAGAATATGTCATTGAAAAAGTTCAAGAAGAACATGACAGAGCAGATGCAACATATGCAACAAAAGAGGATGTTGAAAATAAAGCTGACAAAGAAACTGTAGATATGTTGGCACAAACGGTTTCAAGTCATACCAGAGGTTTAATGGAAGATGGACAACAGTTGAAAGAGCTTGAGAAAGGTGTTACAGAGTTAAGGAATACAAAAGCAGACTCGAAATGGATAGCTGGATATGTAGATGCAACAAAAGAATATATTTTCGCATGGACAGAAGGAACATATCCACAAAAACATCATACACATTCTATATCTGATATTACAAACTTACAAGAAACCTTAAACAGGAAAAGTGACGTTGGACATACACATACCATTGCAAATATTACAAACTTACAAGAAACCTTAAACACTAAAGCAGATAAAACATATGTCAATGAAATATACCAAAGTTTAGTTGGAACAAAAAAAATATTGAAACTATTGTTGGTGACTTTTCTGTCAATGAAGAAAATAAATATTTTAGATGGCAGTTTGTACATTCCTTAAAAAATGGTATACGGTATAAACTCATTCCGAAAAATAACAATGAAATGTATGTAAGCTATAAAAAGAATGATGGTACACAAGTTAAAGTTCCATTAGACAACAACTGCTACTTAAACTTATATGGAGACGAACAAAAGAAATATTTAAGAGTTTATGAAATGGCAGATATGACATTGCCTGACCCAGCTCCAGCACCATATTATTATGACTATGGAGATGACGACAAAACACCACATGTAGACCCAAAAAAGCAAACATTATATTTAGAATATTATAGATATAAAAGATATAATGCAATAGAAAAAACGAGAATAGTATATTATTATACAGATGACAGAAATAAATATTATAGTCAAGATTTTACCTACCCTGAAAACATAAGATTATATTATAAAAAATATTCTGACACAAACCAGAAGAAACCAGAAATAGTTGCACTATATTTTAAGTTCAAAAGGGACAATCCTATAATATCTCATATGTTTGATTTAATGAACCCAATAGGTTCTATTTATACATCTATGGATGCAAGAGGTCCTCAAGTAATGTTTAGTGTTGGTGCATGGGAACAAATAGTCGACAGGTTTTTGTATTGTGCAAACTCTTCAAAGGAAACAGGTGGAAGTAAAACGATTTCAGGTGAAAATTTACCTGCACACAGTCATTACATAAATTTAAGTACATCTCAAGCAGGTTGGCATAGACATAGATATTGGGATTGATCAGGAATGACAAAAGGTAAAGGATATGATGTTAAAGGCGACGTTAAGTTTGCTATAAATTGTTACTGGGATGACACGTGGGGAGAAGGAGACCATACACATCACGTTTCAGGATATACGCAAACAACGGGACAAAGTAAAGAATACATGCCACCTTACATGACAGTTTACGCATGGTATAGAAATGCTTAGTCGTCATTTTCAACTTCTTTAGCATATTCGTCAGGAGTTGTCTTATATTTGTTAGGAACTGTCTTTGAAAGTATACCACCTTGAACTTTGACAAGTTTGAAACGAGGTCTGACAATAGTAGTTTTATCTTCTGCTTGCAGTGTGTACATTTTGCCATGTTTGCCTAAAACTTCATAATATTCTCTTGTATACTTTCTTCTATTTTTACGAACACGAATGTGAGTACCTGTCGGGTTCACATTGTTGTCATAGTCAATAGTATTTTCATATGGGTCGCGTTTAGGTATTTCTATTTTTACTTTGTCACCTTTCTGAAGTTTGAAGCCCGGCATTCTTTCTTGTTTGTCTCTTTTGACTAAATTATTAAATATATAGTCTTTCTCTAAGTCAGGGTTGTTTTTCATTTCTTCGGGGAGTGGTTTCCCAAACCTTTTTGTTTACGGCTATTGTAAATATTTAAAACTTGTCTCATCTTTGCCATGGAGAAGTGTCTATATTTGTCGTCATATGACATTTCATTTGCTTCACCACCTTGTGGTTGGTTTAAGTCTCTTAACATTTTTATACAACTGTCAATGACACCAAGAGCAGAATGGTTTTGGTCGACAATGAAATATTGGTTTACATTTTTTGAACGCAGATAGTTTTTTACATCATCTGATTTGAAAGAACTTTCACAGTCAGATGTCAGTTTTGTTGGATGGTATTTGTCAACGAATATTGTCAAAGCAGTTTTCACATCTAAATATTTTTGGACCATAATGGTATGGATTCACAGTATCTTGTGTTTTGACCGACAAATATTAGCCAGTATGGTGGTCCATCTGTTCTAACTCTCGGAATGTTTTCCAAGATATCCATAAACCAAGCATTTGGTGTTGAACTAAAGATTTTTTATCATGAGTGCATTTTTTGTCGCTTTAGAAACATAGGGGTCCTTGTTTGGATTCGTCATTTTTTATCCTATAAGAAATGGGTTTATTTGGCGCATTAGCAGGAGTTGCATCCAGATTTTTGCCCGCAGTGGGAACAATAGCCAGAGGTGTATTTGGAGTTGGAAGGAAGATTTTGAGTACATTAGGTATACTTAAAGAGAAAGCACAACCTATTATACAAACTGTACAGAAAGGTTGGGATGTAGCACGAGATGCAACAAATCTTATTCCAAATCCTGAAACAAGAGGAAAAGTTCAAGGATGGATGGACAATGTAGGAAGACAAGCAGGAAACTATTATAACAAAGCAAATGAATACTATAACCAAGCAGGAAATTATATGGACCAAGGTGAAAGATTCTTTAACAGAGGATATAACCATGCACAACAGTGGGTAAACAATAACCAACCTCAACCGCCTCAAACGTGGGGAATGTAAAGTTTTTTATTGAGATGAAATGAACAATGCAGCTTTAAACAGAATAAGTCATGGAAGACCACCTTTTACACCACGTGTTTGTAAAGTTCTTCCTATACCTCAGGAAGTTTTAGACCGACTTAAAAAACCTAAACAACCAGTTGAAAACAAACCAAACTAAAATTTTTACTGAGATGAAATGACCGAAGAAGTTGAAACCGTAGATTTGACACCACAAACAAAAAGTTCAGAACCATTGTCAAAACCTGTCAAAGAACTTACAGATGAAGAGAAAAATTCAATAATAGAAAGTGCCAGGTCTGGAAATACAAACCCTAACTATAAAGTCACTTTTCATAGAAATGGAACGGCTAGTATCTCAAAAAAAAACAGACTCTCACAAATAAAATATTGAAGTCTGAAGGAGCTTTCGAGACAACAGATGGAAAAGTTTACTTCACTGACCAACAGTTCATTATAGAACATCTCATTGACTTAGAGTCGAAATATTCTAAACTTTACAACAAACACAAAAAGTTGAAAGGAAAACAAAAACAAATGGCATATGATATTTATGAAGATGTTGACGACACAACTGTTCCTGCAAGTGAAGTAAAGTCAGAGGAACCGAAAAGTGACGAAAACCGATAGAAGAAGAAAAACCAAAACTGAAGATAAACCAAAACCAAAGTTTAGTTTCCAAACTAAACCAAGTCAACCTTCATTAGCTGGTATGGGTTGGCGTCAAAGACTTATGGCAGCAGGCGGTTATGTAAAGTAAAGAAAAATTTTTTTTTATTTTTTAAAAAATGCCCCCATATAGAATGGATAGAAAGTCTGCTAGAATAAAAGCAGAGTTACAAAGATATGGTTGGAGAGTTTCGAAGAATTTTAAATATAGGAAGGGAAGACCCATAAAAGTCTATGACAAATTGTCTGGTCTTCGCTACGAAATGGATTTGGAAACAGCACGTGCCAATTATCCAAACAGACTAGAGAGGTTAGAAGAAGAACGTCTTATGGACATGCCTTTCGATGTTAGTGAACCTCAAGTTGAAGGACACGACGGCTTTGCCAGATTCTATTGGAAACATGACGAACAATTGCATCCTTTGAGAAGGAAAAAAGGAAAAGGTGAAGACGCACATGCTCCCATGGAAAGAACAAGATATTCATATGAAAAGTATCGTGAAGTTAGAAGTCAAATTACATCTGGTCGAACCTTTACAGTAAACTTTGACGAAGGAAAGAACAAAGAAGGCTTCATGGTGTACTTGCTGCAATTCAAGACGGAAATAAGAAAGGACACAATCTCAGATTGACCATAACAGATTTGGATGGTCACATTTACTATGCACATGGCAATGAACAAACAGCCGCAAAACTTCTTGACGCTTTCAAGACTACAAAGAGAGAACAAATGGTTGACTCCGACTCAGACATTTTGAATGCAATTGAAGGAATTGCAAGTGTCAAGTTCGAATGGTACCAACCTAACCCTCAAGCAGTCAGACAACATGCTGGATACTTCCCCTTCATAAATAAGTCTGACATTGACTTGACAAGGTATGGAATTTACAATTCAATTGAAACAATTGTCAATGAACCTTGTATTCTTACATGTCTCAGGAACTCTGGTCTTGTTACAGATGAGAAGATGAAGTATCTTGAGTCATGTGTGAAGACAAGGTACATTCTCAGAGGTCAATTGGCAAAAATTGCACCGTTGGCAAATGTCAATATCCGAGTCAACATACCTACAGCTAAAGGTTCTTCACATGACGACTATGTTGTTGACAAAGACTTACCATGGTTGAAGATTGTAATTGTCCACAACCACTTCATGTTGAACGAAAGTCTTACAAACCCATTCTTTGGTAAAAGTAAGTGCAACATTGTCAGAGCTGTAAACATTCTTTTCGAGAAAGGTTTGTTGGAACCAATTCCAGATGACAAGCTGACAGAAACTTTTGTACCAAAAGACGAAACAAACTTTTCATTGTTAGCAAGACCAAAAGTTGTTCCAGACAAAGTTCTAGTACAAAAGAAGTACACAGTTCCACAAGGAGTTGGTTTGTTCGGATACCAACCTGAACCAGAAGAACTTCCAATGAGGTTGCAAGAACTTCAAGATGCTATAAACAAACTTCCATTGAGACATCCAATTGACGTCAAATTGTATTGGAGAGCATCTGAGTTAGGTCAGAAGGTTTTATATGAAACAGGTTGCTTCGACGATGTTTATGAGATAACAGGAGAAGTTTCTCAGAAGATAAGAGACTCACTTGAATTTCCACAAACTGGACCAATTGGTTGCGACAAGTTCGACTCAGATGAAAAGATATACTATGTCGACCTTAACGCTGCGTACATGAGGTTTGTCCAATATATTCCGACTGGAATTCCAAACGAAGATGGTGAGTTCCCGGGAAGGAACTATACAGTTGGAAAAGTCATACAACAACTGTATGATATTAGGAAAGCTTCAAATCCCAAACTTGCAATGACACTCAAATTGCTTATGAATTCGACATGGGGATATTCCATTAAGAAACCTCAAGAGATGAAGAGTAAACATTATGAGAAGGTCGACAACTTTGTTGAAAGGTTTTCTCCTTTTGTTTTGAAGTACGAATTCACTCAAGGTCAAAGTGGCTTAGTAACCACATTAAAACCTATTGTCGAACATTGGTCTTACCCTCAGTTTGCAAAAGCAGTCCTTGACAACTACAACAAATTCTTCTCCGAAGTCAAATCCAAAGTGAAGGTTTACTATGAGAACATTGACGCACTCATGACGAACGAAGAAGGCTATAACAAACTCATTGAAATGGGAATGGTCGGTGAAAAGATGGGCTGTTTTAAGCTAGATAAGGTATTTTCCGAAGTTCATGTAATATCGAAAAGGAAATATTGGGGCATACTTGAAGACGGCACAGAAATAAAACATTGCATGAAGTAAAAAATTTTTATTTGAAATGTACGCTGAGTTTGTTGGAGAAGACCGTTGGGAAACTTGTTTGTTAGATGAGAAATATGAAATTCACTGTTGTGAGTCATTTGAAGTCAGAAACAAAAAGACAAAAAGAGTTTTAAGCGAAATGACGGATATGCTACTCATGAAGATGGGTGGAAAACACTATCTTAAACATGTTGTCATTGCAACTCATTTTATACTGAATCCTAACAATTTACCTTTTGTAGACCATATAAACCATATAAGAAACGACAATAGACTTGAAAACTTACGTTGGGTCACTCGTTCTGAAAACAATAAGAACAAAGGCAAATTTGGAGATATTGTATTCGAATTTGTCGACGAACTAGAAGATGAAACAATTGAAATTACAGACTATGGCATATCATTTTAAAACAATATATTTTTACATATATTAAATGCTTCAGGTTGAAAAACAAAGAACAAAAGTAGCAGATACAAAACCGTTAGACTATAT